TGCTTAAGTGCTCTCTTATGTTTAACCATGTTTGCCTTGCCTCTGATAAATTTTACCTTATTTCTTTAGACGGTGCCTTTGTTTTTAAAGTGGTAATAATCCTTTTAATTTTGCCCTTAGATTTTTTTTAAACAACCTTTTATATGGTTAAAGAGATTATCCTGTCTTGCAATAAACGTGTCATTCTGAATGCCAGTGTGTTGACTTATATAGATGCTTTTTTCAGAATTTTTTCTTCATATTATTCATGTAATTTTATGTAGTATTAAAAACATGAGTCATGTGTTCTCATTTAACATCACTCAACTCCTGAAGTATAAATTAGTTACAAGGTAGTTATAAAGCTGTCATAATTGAAAATCATGATTTAAAAATTTTAAATATACCATAAATTGTTTCCAAATTCTTACTTTGCTTGATAAATACCATAAATATTAGTTAATTTCATTTTCTTTTTAAATGTGTTTGAGTATGACTTGGTACTATAAAGTATTCCATAATTCACTTCTCCCAGACTTAATGAAATAATAAAAACCAATATATATTTAACATTTACTGTGTTTAGTCATGTTGGATTTAAAGCAAAATATTTTTACTTGTGGCAATGATACTACTACAGATGATTTACTAATTTAAAACAAAGTGGGAAGTAATCATCAAGAATTTACTTAAATGAGTCTTGTCCCACATTTGAATTCGAAGCCAAGTATATGATAAATCTACCTTTTAGTCAGATTTACACCAGGCTGTACTTAGTGCTCTACTAATTCACAGTTAGATAATATAACAGGTATACTATATGCTGTAAACTTGATTTCAGCAAGAATTTGACTTTATGTCTTACAATAGCTTTGTGGATAAGATGAAGAAATGTGCTCTATATGGCTTATTGCTGCTGAATAACTATTCCCAAGGAAATTAGGTGTCATCCTAAAGGGAAATCTTGGACATTGACTCTAGTAATAAGGATAGTAATATTTCTTATTTGGACTGGTACAAAGCTAGATGAGGTGATTAATAGACAAATTACAGAAGCAGAATTTAAATTTATATCAACTCTTGGATTGCTAGGCAAAACCCAAGAAGGTGAAATTTAATAGGGACAAGTGTCAAATCTAGCACTTAAGTTAAAAACAGAAAACAGGAGCATAAAAGTAAAACAGTTGATAGTAGTTCCTGAGATGCTGGAGTTTTAACTGACCACAAGCTTAGGAAGTATATGTTTTGAGTGCTTTAAATGTAAAAATTGTTGTTGGAATGGAAACAGATGTGTATTAATTGGTAGTTTTATAGGTAGCATAGTTCCTGCTGTACTTTGGATTAAGCTAAAGTTTGAATATTGAGTTCATTTTTTGTTGCTTCAATTTGAAAAACTTAGCCAATTACATTTCATTCAGAGAATGACCAATAAGGGGAGCCCCAAAAGAATGCCATATGAGATAGGGTAAGGGAAACATTTTTTATACTATTAATTAGAACATGTATTTTAAGTGTGATAGCTGTTTTTAAATTGCTAAAGTACCATCTAGAAAAAGGAGGCACCATATTCAGTGATGTTTTGAAGGATACAATGTGACCATTGGGTGAATATTTTAGGGAGGCAAATTATAATCCAGAATAATGAGGATCTTTTTATCAAGGAGCTTGTTTAAGAATGGTACAGCTGGGGAGCCTGGGTGGGTCAGTCGTTAAGCGTCTGCCTTCAGCTCAGGTCATGATCCCAGGGTTCTGGGATCGAGCCCTGCATTGGGCTTCCTGCTCCGCGGGAAGCCTGCTTCTCCCTCTCCCACTCCCCCTGCTTGTATTCCCTCTCTTGCTGTCTCTCTGTCAAATAAATAAAATCTTAAAAAAAAAAAAATCATACAACTGGAGTGCCCGGGTGGCTCAGTTGGTTTAGTGTCTGCCTTCGGCTCAGGTCATGATCCCAGGGTCCTGGGATTGGGTCCCACATTGACCTTCCTGCTCAGTGAACAGTCTGCTTCTCCCTCTCGCTCTCCCTCTGTGCTCTCCCTCTCCCTCTGTCTTTCAAATAAATAAATCTTAAAAAAAAAAAAAAAAAAGGATGGCACAACTTGTACTCCAAATCAGTTAGATTTCTGTCATTGACATATTTACTTAGATTCTAGATGGTTATCAAAATTCTTATTACAAAATTTCAATTTCTTAAAAAAGATTTATTTATTTGAGAAAGAGTGCATGCGTACAAGCATGACTGGGGTGGAGGGCAGAGGGAGAAGGATAAGCAGACTCTCTGCTGAGCAGGGAGCCTGATGTGGGGCTCGATCCCAGGGCCTGGAGATCATGACCTGAGCCGAAGGCAGATGCTTAACCAACTGAGATACCCTGGTGCCCCACAAAATTCCAATTTTGAATGGAAAGTTGGCATAAATAATTTATGAAGTGTTTTTTAACTTTAATATTCTATAATTGCCAAAATAGTTTTTCTAATGTGATTAACTTCCACACCTGCTATGACTTTGAACTTGTATTAAATCAACCTTGTAGTCAAGAACAATTAAAAAAAAAACAATTAAAAAACCTGTAGAAAATGTAAAAATCTGTTCGAAGTCAGCCAGGACTTCGGTGGTCAGTATCTTCCAGTGAGAAGAAAAATGCATTGGAGTAAGTCTGTTATTTTGTTTGGCTTTTCTGTTTGAGCCATTTGCTAATTTGTCATTATGGCACAAGTAAGAAGCCAAACAACAATGGCTGAAAGGCAGAAAAGATAAGCAGAATTTGAGTCTTGGGGAGAAAGCTGTTGGAGTTCACAGCTTACTAAGGATGAGAGCTGCTGGTAAACAGTTGTGTGTCTGGTTGCAACCCTCTGAGGACTGAAATCCTTTTTAGAATCAGCTTAATTGCACACTTATTAAGGTGATCTGCCTCCTATCTTTATTCTTTGGAGGAAAATCAAATCAGCTGGAGCTTCTACAGTTTTTTCATGTACAATGTTGAACATTCCAGGAGACAAGGCCAAGATAATAGAAACAGACTCATGGGTGATTCACATGTTAAAGTTACCAGACATGCACTTTAACTGTGATTAGTATGTTGAAGATGGAGAGTTTTAGCAGAGATCTGGAATCTCTAAAAAAAACAAAGGGAATTCTTTGACTGGAACATATAATAATTGAGTTAGGACTCCATGGATGCTTTAACAGCAGATTAGATTCTGTTGAAGAAAGAATTGGTGAACTAGAAGATAGGTCAGAAGAAATATCCTGACTGAAGCATAGGGAGACAAAATGATAGAACGTGTAAGAGACCTATAGAAAAACAGTGAAAAGTCTAACATGTATTATTGGAACCTGTAGGTAAAAAGATCCTTGTAGGCTTAGGACTTTTTTTTTTCCTGTGGAAAGATGACCTCAGGTTTACCTTCTTTTGATATAGTTTCTCTTAACATATACCAAGATAAATGTGATTTCTCAGTTCTGTTACCGTAATACCAGTATTTATTTTGAAAACGACCTGTGACTATTGAATTACATCTGGACTGAGAGGTCTCCGAAGGGACATGTAATTCTCCAAGGAACTATATTATTACTTCATTGTTTCACCAGCATAAAACTTGTACAGAAAAAGATATTCCAGCTTTCCTTTATGATGTCTCTTCTAACTCAATGCACCCCCTGTGGGAGGCTTAAAAGCTGCATGAATGGGCAGTTATTTGATGTGGTTACTGTTTGAGACATACAAATGCTGGAATAGATTGTATCCATTCATGTGAGTGTCATCCCCCACAACCTACTCTGTGTGTGTGATGTGGGGTTAGGGAAGCAGGGATTAGTTTTAAGAACCGACAAAGATGTGTTTGATTCAGCCTACTGATAAGCTGTGTTTCTAGTCCTAAATCTTTCTAAAAAAAACTAAGTAAAACTGGTGTTAGATCACTACCTATTGTGTCCTGTGAACATGAATGTTATTTTGAACCCAAGACTACTGATGATTATATAGAGTGGACACTATGCAGTTCCAGAGGGAGGAGAGAGGGAATGGGGCAGAAGCAGTATTTTGGAAGATATAATAGCAGAAAGTTTTCCAGAACTGATAAGCATGTCAAGCCACAGAGTCAGAGTTCTATGAACCCCAAGCTGAATAAATACAGGAAAATAATTCCTAGGTTCATCATTTGAAAACTGCTCAAAACTGGTTCCCTTTGCTTGAGGCTTTCCTATCCTGGAGTGGACTGCATCTGTCTATGCAGAAATGAGAGAAGATGTTAAGAGAAAATCTTAAAAGTAGCCAGGAGATACCATCTTCAAAGGAACAATAAACCAATTTTCTCAACAAAGCAAGGAAACAGTAGAATGATATCTTCAGAGAGGTGAAAGAAATGAACCACCAGCCTATAATTTTGTACCCAACAAAAATATCCTTCAAAAATAAAGGCAAAATATATTTCAGATAAGCATAATTTGAGAGAATTTGTCACCCGCAGACCCACAGTAAAGGGAGCATAAAAGGGGATTCTTTCAGGCAGAAAGAAAACGATGCTTTCCCAGATGGAAGCAGGAGGAAATGAAGAGCATTACAAAGGGCAAATATGTGGGTAACTATATAGATACTGACTATACGAAATAGTCTTGTGAGATATAAAATATAGGAATAAAATACAACAACAGAAAAAATGGGAGAGGAAACATAGAGCTAGTGTTCTGAAGTCATTGATTATCTAGGAAATGGTAAAGATACTAATTTATACTAGATTTCTGGTAAACCGGAGATGCTTGTTGTAATCTCTAGGGTAACCACTGAAATAAAAACCTAAAGGCCCTAGAGATAAAAAGTAGTTTGGTTCTCATTTTGTTTTGAATGCTAAGTCATTTACTTTTTTTTTTCCCAGAAGGTTCTAATGTATTTTTATTTATTTAGAATTGTGTAGAGTTTGTCATCTTTCTATCATATAATATACAGTAATATTCAAATACCTGATACTAACATAACTTACTGAATCAATTCTAATACTGAACACAGACTGTTAACAATAGAAACAAAACCAGTGAGTTTATCTTAGAAAATTTAAATTCAGGTCATTATTTCACAATCTGGAAATCTGAGTAATCCAACTTTACGATGATTTTCTCATTCCTGAAGTTTGCTCTGTCGATGTGTGATTTGGGACTTCCTCTTGTCTCAAGCCATTCCTGCATATGATGCACTTTGGAGATGGGACCTTGCAGTTGTCCTTGCACTGTGCCCCGGTCAGTGTTCTGGACCCAGCCAACCAATCCCAGCTTTTTACCCTCAGCCTGAGTGTACTTGTGGAAAAAGACCCCTTGGACCTTCCCAAAAATTTCATAATCCACAGATATCAGGGATATCACCTTCTGCCATGTTCATGCCCACACCCTCCTCGTCCTCCTCTCGGGCGCCTGTGACTACACCGACGACCAGCACGCCCTCATTTACTTTGCTGTTGAAGTAAGCTCTACTGAAAAATACTTTAACATTTTTACAGTGTAAAGCCAGTATAAATGTAAGTTTTAAAAATGAAGCTGAATACAACATGTTATGTAATCGCTTCTCAAACAGGTAAGCTGAAGAACAAGTCTTTGCCAAAAATTCGCATCTTTAGGCTTTCCTGATCTATTTAAAATGGCACATTTTCCCACCTCCACCCTGTCACTCATACTGTATTTTCATCGTTCTCCATTATATTACCATTACATGTTTATTGTTTATATTCTCCACCTGAATGTAAGTTCCATTTATACCTGTTTTTTCAGCATTTGGAGGAATCCCTAGTACACTTAGGTACTCAGAAAATATTTGTCAAGTGAATGAATGAACAAATGGATGCTCAGACCAACAGGGTAAAAACAACTAGGAGAAAAAGATCTTCAAGGATATGGGTTTGTTCTCTCAATAAAAATAGAGTGCATGTTACATACTGTATTATGGGACGGTTTCAGTCCGTGTTTTATTTTCTGGACATTTGGCAGCTCTTGATGAATACCTTTAGTCTGTCTTATCCACAGCAAAGGCTACAGCCCTACTCCAGCCTGCATTTTGACTGAACCCAGCAATTTTTCTTACTTGATTCTTCTCATCCTTTGTCCCTCCTTCCTTAGCCTATCGCTGTTAGGCTTCATCCCTTCAGGGCCCTAATTTCTCAACTCAAGTGCTGGAGATAAAAGGATTAACATGCAGTAAGCACTCATGTTATAATCAAGAGAGGCTGGTTGTTGGGAGGTAAAATAGTGTGAATTTTGAGCTTGGGCACTGCAGGCAGGTATAGCATCTTGCCACTCACTTGCCTAATTCCTAATTTCTTCATCTGTAAACTGGGTGTAATAATATTTGTAGAGTTCCAGGAATTAAATAAGACATATATAAAGCACTTAGTAGTACTTGTTTAATCAGTGGTAGATAAACAGGAATAAAGTCTTTTTGCTTCCTGTTCAGAACTATCCTTTAGAGAACTTTAAAGGGCTTTCGGGGAAAGGAAATTTGGAGAAAAGCAATGAGTCTGTGTTTTGTTTCACCATGGGTGAAGAAGAAAGGAGCCTTGTGTTATTTTGGCGAAGTCTGGAGATGGTAGAGGTCAGAATATCTGTGCCTCAGAAGTCTCTCCTGACTCCAGAGGGAAAACTCTTGGTGCAGTTGAGTAGGGGTGGCTGTTGCCTGCCGGGGCCCTGCTTGCTGACACATGTGGTGCCTCTGGGACCTGTCATAGCCTAAGTATGGATACAGTGTCATCCAGACATTCTTCCTTAACTTTTTTATTAAGCTCTACTACACATACAAAGAGGTACATACATTCTAAGTGATTTTTTTTTTTTTACCTAAATCCTCAATGGATATTCACAAACTAAACAAGCACATACAACCACTAAAGACACAAAATGATCAGCATCCCACAAACCCCCAATTTGGGCCCCATTTTAGTTACTATTTCCATCCTCCACCCCCACCAAGGGTAACTACTATCCGAATAGTTTCACCTATTTTTAAACTTTGTAGAAACAGGTTTTTTTTTTAACATTTTATTTATTTGACAGAAAGTACAAGCAGGGGGAGCAGCAGAGGGAGAGGGAGAAGCAGGCTCCTCACTGAGCAGAGAGCCCAATGTGGGGCTCGATCCTAGGACCTTGGGATCATGACCTAAGCCGAAGGCAGACGCTTAAAGGACTGAGCCACCCAGGTGCCCCCGTAGAAACAGTTCTATTTGTGCCTGGCTTCTTTCACTTGAGCTTATGTCTATTGCAAGTTGCAGCATGTAATTGTAATTTGTTAATTCTCATTGCTGTATATTATTACATTAAGACTATACCATTATTTATCCATTTTTTTTTTTTTTTTTTTTTAAGAAGGCTCCACACCTAGTGTGGAGCCACTGCGGAGCTTGAACTCACGACCCTGAGATCACAACCTGAGCTGAGATCAAGAGTCATATGCTTAACCCACTGAGCCACCAAGGCGCCCCTTTTTATCTATTCTGATATTGACGGGCCTGTGGGTAGTTCTTACATTTTGGTTATTATGAATAATGCTGCTTTACACATTCTTATATGTGTCTTTTTTTCTATTCATGATATATTACTGTATAGATAACATTCAAAATCATATAAATATTTTAGAAATACTGTTTTTTCCTACTTTTCAGATTTTTGTCATTATTAGGGCTACTTTTTTCTTTCTTTTAAAGATTTTATTTATTTGTTAGAGCACAAGCAGGGGGAGTGGCAGGGAGAGGGAGAAGCAGGCTCCCCGCTGAGCAAGGAGCCCAATTCAGGACTCGATTCCAGGACTCTGGGATCATGACCTGAGCCGAAGGCAGCCGCTTAACAGACTGAGCCACCCAGGTGTCCCACTACGGCTACTTTTTGAATCATCAACTATAGTTTTCTAGAGTACCAATTCATTTTTATTTAAGTTATTTTGAGTCTGTGAACAATACTATAACAGGTACCCACTAACATAACATTAGAGCTTTGGGGTTTTTCATTTGTCTTGTAGAGTTACACTTAGGAACTTCACAATGTTGTAAACACACAGTATACTGCTTTTTAAAAAATCTTTGATCTTATAAGGCTTATTTAAGATGATAGTCTACATTTTAAGTATGAAATCACTGTTCAGGAATAATTGTCATTATCATATCCTTGAGAAATATCCTTTTTGTTGTTTACTAATTTGGTCAAGTGTTTTTTCTCAGCTAATGATTGATACATGTTTAGGCAAATGTGTCTTTTGTACGTAGTCATTTGTTCAAAATAATTTAGAAATAACCTTTCTAAATATGAAAGGTTTATGAGACCTTGAATTTGAGAAGAATCTCTTTTTTCTGGAGTATAACTTTTGGTTTAAAAAAATCAAGTTTTATTAGAAAGAATCAAGTTTTATTTGGAATATATGGTATGTCTTTGAGAAAAAGATTTTGTTGTATTTTTTTTTTTTTTTTTAGTCCAAGTGCTGTTTCCAGTCATTTTGCCAGTGGCAACAGAACTCTTTAAAAAACAGAACTCTTGAAAAATGAGAAAGGAGCAAACTCTGCCCCTTGAGAACAGCTTTGGAGATAGCAAGATACTTGAATCACAATTCTAACATTAATTTCTTAATATGAATTTGGTAAATTTCTTAAGTTCTGTGATCCTCAGTTTTCCCCACAAAGGTCCTTATAGCATTTAAATAAGAAAATGTATATAAAGTGGGGCACCTGGGTGGCTCAGTTAGTTAAGCCTCTGCCTTCGGCTCAAGTCATGATCTCCGGGTCCTGGGATCGAGCCCCACATTGGGCTCCCTGTTCAGTGGGGAGCCTGCTTCTCCCTCTCCCTCTGCCTCTCTCCCTGCTCATGTTCGCTCTCTCTCTATCTCTGTGTCTCAAATGAATAAATAAAATCTTTAAAAAAAAAAAAGAAAATATATATAAAGTACTTAATATACATGTAGGCACACACATACATACAAAGTGCCAAGTATGCTGTAAGCACTCATTATTATTATTATCATATGCCTTTGAGAAATACCTTTCTTCCTGTTGATATCATAGCCACCTTTCTCCAAATTGCTCTACTTCCTGAGCCCCAAACTTCTCTGCTCCTTTCACCCTGCTTTTGGAGATCCACTCTGGTTCCTTTCCTCAGCACCCTGTACTTTTCCTTCCATTTCTTAGATCTTTGCTGCTGAAAGCCTAAGTCCATGGACCAGCAGAATAGAGAGCTTTTTATAAAGATCTCAAAGCACTTGAGAACTCTATACATTTCTGCTCGTTATATACTTAGGAGTGGATCACTGAGTCAGAGTATACATGTTCAGTTTTAGTAGTTACTGCGTGTTCTGCACCAATTTACACTTTTCCCAGGTGTTTGCAGTAATTTATATTCCCACCAGCAATAGAAAAGTTCCGGTTACTCTGTATTTTCACCAGGGCTTGGTATTACCCGTTTTTTAATTGTTGCTGGGTGGGCATGTTGTGATATTGTATTATATTGTGGTTTTAATTTACATTTCCTTGGTGACTAAAAATACTGAGCACCTTTTCATGTGTTTATTGACTAGCTACAACTCCTCTTTTCCAAGTTTATTTTCCTGGAAGACATTTGATTTCTTTTGAAATGCTTAGACTTTTAAGTAAATTGCAGTCCTGGTGCTGATGGTTATTTCTTCTTCTACCAATACTTCTCCACATCTAGGAACTCCTGGAATGTAGTACCACAAGGGATTCCTTTGGACTTAAAATGTATAGATAATACTTTTTCTCTGACAGGTATTTGTTGTTTTTTCTCAGATATGAGAGATTAGCACACCCAGTTTGAATTCCCCTCTCAAATTCTAAAGCTGCAATATGAGTAGTGTATGAAACATAAATTATATGTTCAAACAACCAAATATTAATGTCAGTCATGCATTCCATCCATACAGAAAGTAGTTACTGAACATCAGTTATATGTCAGGCACTGTGCCAGATGCTGGGGATACAAAGATAAATGAGACACAAACCCCGCTCTGAAGGAGCTGATTGGTTTAAAGAGGGAGATCAATAACAACAACCAAATAGGTAATTACAGCATTTGATGTTAAGTGCCATCATGAAGAGGAGCTGTGGTTGTACATTGGAGGGTCCTTTGATCCAGACAGTTGAATTGTTGGAATGATGGGGGGAATGGGGGTGGTGTTTAGGGAATCCTTACTGGAATAGTACTTGAGGTAAACTCCAAAAGACAAATGAAACTTGGGTAAGTGAAACATTGGAGATTGGTGATCAAGGACACAAATGGTTCACATGTTTAACTGAATTCATTTACTGTACTCAATAAAATTCTACTGAAATTTACTGAATGCTTATCATGGACTAGATATATTAGCCTTGGAGATGAGAGAAAGCACAGCCCTGATGG